GATCCGGATTATTTACAGCTCCTTAACGGAGCGCGGCGAGTTCGGCAGGGCTGAGATCGGCAGGCTTGCCTTAGGCAGGGCTGACCTTTCGGCGCTGGAGACAAAGGGAGGTGTCAGCCGGCGCAGGATCGCTGGTGCGGGACCCTCCGCAGCCAGCCGGGACGGAGCGGGAGGCCGGACCCTGGCGGGGGGCTCGGCAGCGCCGGCCCGGCCAAGGCCACGGAAAGCCAAGCGCGCCGGGATCCCAGCCTGGGAAAAGGAGGGATCGGATTCCTCCCTGCCCGGCCCCGCCGGACAAACTCTTCCGGGTGGGGACTCCTACGCGCCGCTCTCTGCCCAGGCACTCCAGCGGCTCGCCGCTTCCCGCAGCCCCCGGCCGCTCCTGCGGCTGGAAAACACCGGGATACGGCACGAAATAAAAGCGGGGGGGGGGCTGGAGACTCGCCCCCGGCACCCCGGCGGCTGCGCTTGGCTCCTCTGCCGGCTCAGCCCAGCTGCCGACTCATCCCTGCCATGGAAGCGTGGAGGGAAAAGTTTCCCCGTCAGCACAAAACACCGGCAACTGACCAAACCTTGGGCTTGGCTTCTGCCGCCCTGGCCAGGAGTTCACCCTGCTGGGGACCCGCCAGGTCCCGGCTCGGGGGGTGCAGGGGACGGGCCCACTCCTTGCCTTAGGGGACTGGGGTGTCCCCCAGGGGCTCCCCAGACCCTCGCACTGCAGGGAAGGAAGGACCTGCTGAGATCAGGAGATCTGTCCCTTGGCACTGCCCAAGGGGAGATCCTTCCCATGCCCCTTCCCTCGCTCCAAAGAGATCTAACTGTGGGATTTGGGCAAAGGAAAATTTGCAGGGTTGGTGTCACAACACTCCCCAGCACGGACCCTCCTGGTCCCTACAGTGTTCAGGACTGGATGCCATGACCCAGAAGCCCAGACATCCCAGGGAAGCAGCCCAGGAGTACCTGGTATCCCACCAGGATCCCCACGTCCCTCACCACCTTCCTGGGCAGCAGTGACCTGTCCACCCTTGCCATCTCACTCCCTGCTGAGGTGCTACAGGCAGAGGGATTCTCCCACCCAGGATTCCCACAGCCCCAATTCCTGACCCCCTCTGGGGCACATTGCTGTGCATCAGCTTCCCACATTTAAATCCAAGACCTCTCCCAGAAGCTCACAAATGTAGGATAGCGAACTCATCTGTTACTCACAGAGAGCTCTCCCAGGATTTAAGTTGCTTAATTAGTGCTTTAAGAGAGTCACCAGCCGAGTGGGTGACACCCCAGCGGGATGTCATGTGCTCCACAGGGCTCAAGCTTCGCTTTCCTCCTTTCCTACCCAGGGTTACCTTGTTTCTTTTTTTTCCTTTTCCATTTTCTAATGAACAAACAATGGGGCAGGTTTTATAAGTCCATGGAAACTCTATTATCCCTCTGCATTAAAGCCAAAAGCAACTAATTAAAACATCAAAGTCAGAGGTTTCATTAGTTTGGCCTCAGTGCTGGCAGAAGGTGACGGGAACGTGGCTCCCACAGCCGACTGCTCCGAGGGACCCCAAGGCTGGACCTGCACCCTGAAACACATTCCCTGTCCCAGTGCCACCCTTTCCCATCAAAGCTGCTTCCCCCAAGAACATCTCCATCACCTGCACCATCAGATGGGTCTTTATTCCCACCTGGCACAACACTAGGATGAGAGGGATGGGTTCAAATTTCCAGCTCACCCTCGCCAATCTATCTCCTCTGTACATGGGATCCCTACCTACATGACAGAACATCCCTGCCTCCATCCATCCTGAGCAGGAATGCTCCAGGCAGCCAGCAGGCATCCAATAGCATCCCTCACCCTGCCAGGATCCGCTCCCAGAAGTCCCCAGCGAGCCACAGGAACTGGGGAGCACCAAGGAGGAGTCACCTCTTTGCACTGCAGTGGCCACCTCCCCATCCAAGGACCTGCATCCCACTGCCATGGTCACGCTGAGCATCAGCCACCTCCCCATCCAAGGACCTGCATCCCATTGCCACGGTCACACTGAGCATCAGCCACCTCCCCATCCAAGGACCTGCATCCCATTGCCACGGTCACGCTGAGCATCAGCCACCTCCCCATCCAAGGACCTGCATCCCATTGCCACGGTCACACCAAGCATCGCCACATCCCTCCCCGGGCTCCTGGTCCCTGCCACAGCTGCACTCGGAGCCAAGCAGGATCCCCGGGGCTTTGACCCAGGTTTTCCTCCGGCTCCTTTCCCAGGCACAGCCCAGCCGTCCCCGGCGGGGAGGAGCCGTGGGCGAGGAGGAAGCCAGAGCTGCCAGCCCTTCCCTGGGCCCTGCGCGGGGAGCAGCGGACACGGGGAGCAGCAGCGAACAGGCGCCGGCAGCGAGTCCCCGCTGCAGAGATTTGGGTCCCCCCAGTCCCTGCAGGCTCCATCCTGTGCTGCCGGAACAGGCGCGTGCGACCACTGCGGGAAAACTCCGCTCGTGGCCTAGCGGGGAGGAGAAACAGGAAAATTGGGAAAAAAACCCAACCCCAGAGAGGAGCGGGGAGCGTGCTGAGAATCCGCAGCCCCGGCGAGGGGCAGGTACGGAAGGAGCAGGCAGGGGAGGAGCAGGCTCGTCTCCCAGGGCAGGGAGCCTTGGGGACAAGGGGAAACTCCAGGCTCAGCTCCACCCCGGCGCTTTCGACTGCAAAACAATAGTGGAGAGGAGCAGCCGTCCCTCCCTGCTCTTACTCATCCTGCCCAAGGACCTGTGCCACCCTTCGGCTCACCCCTCCCTGCCCCTCCTCTGCCCGGGGGCTCCGGCATGGCGTGTCCCGGCTCCAGAGGCGCAGGCGACGGCAAAAGATCCCCCGGGAACGGATCCGGACCCACGGCACGCGAGCGGCGAGCCAGCAGCGCAGGGAATTCCCTCCGTCATCATCTCAGCCGAAAAAAAAAAAAAAACAACAACCAACACCCAACAACACCCTTCGCCCTCTCCAGCCTCTACCTGCAGCGCTCGCACCACCGCCCAGCGCCAGCAATCCCCTTTCCAGCCGGGAAGGAGCCGAGAATTCGCGGAGGGCTCCCACGGGGCTGCTCCCAGCGCAGCCCCCGCGGCGACCGTGGGACGGGGATGGAGCCTGAACCCCGAGGGGCCGCTCTGGGGGACCGGGAGGCTCTGCCTCCATGCCCTGGGAGCTTCCCAGCTCCACCTGCACCATCCCTGGCCAGGCACCTCCATGTCCGAGTGCATCCAGCCTGGCCGTGGGGAGTCGCAGGACACGCAGGGGTCGGGAGGCCTCCAAGACCACCCAGCACCCACCATTCAGCCCGGGAGGGCCTCACCACCCTGACACGAGGGGCACCCCCTGACCCACCACCCAGCCCAGCCACCCCAGGGGACGGGTGGGATTTCCCGGGGGGGTCATCCAAGGGGGCAGCCGGGGAGGGATCCCCACGGCGCGGCGGGGTGGGGCCGGCGGAGCGCGGGGGCGTCAGCCTCTCTCGCTCATGATTTAATAATTTAGGTGCGTTTCAGTGCTCAGGGAAGCGAAAGATTGAGGGCAGTGTCTGGAGCCTGGCAGGGCGCAGGCAGCGGCACAGCCCACGGCCGTGGCATCGCGCCCCTCGGGAGTGGGGGCACGGCTCGGTGTCCCCCAGCCTCAGGACAGCTCTGGATGCCCCATGGGGTGCTCCGAGCACTCACCTCCACCCCAATTCGCTGCCCCCGGGTCCTGCCCGTCCACCCACGTCCAGGGCTGCCTGTCCACGTCCACGGGCAGAAACTGGCTGCACTGGTTTGAGCTTCGCAATCCAAACCCCCACCCAAGCTCAGGTCTCCAGAGATAAGAGCACAATAACCTATTGTCCCTCCTCCCCTCCCAACATCTCCACTTGCCTCTGGCAAAGCAGGGAGGGACCACCCAGCTCCACACAGTCCCCCCACCCCCACTGCCGGGGACCCCACGGGGGGCACAGCCCCACCGAGCCAGGCGAGGGATGCTGGGAGGCTGCAGAGTCGGGGCTTGGATGCAGGGAGAGGACTGGGGGCAGAGGCAGGAGGAGGAGGACGAGGCCAGAGACCGGTTGGGCTTCTAATTTATCTCCTTATATATTTTTTTCCTCCCCACTCCTGTTTTCTGCCGTGGATCTGACCAGCTGGATTGGTGCAGGCAGGAGGGGGACGTGCCCAGCCCTGGCGTGGGCAAACCCCACGCAGCCTCCCCACTGCATCCCACCCTCCCTGCGTCCCACCCTGCATCCCACCCCCAGCCCCACGCACACCCCACCCGAGCCACCCCACTCCAGGCAGGGAGCAGCCCCCCTCCTGCCCCACGGGTGGGGAAAACCACCCAAACCACCCACGCAGCACCTTCCCCGCTCTGTCCTTGGGCTGCCGCAAGCCCCCCTCCCCTTCCCCCGCCTCTTCCTTCCTCCATCATCCTCCTCCTCCTCCCCGCAATGCCACAACACGCTGCCTTCCAAGAAGCCCACAGCACGCGCGACCAGGAACCCCACGCCCCACCTCAAGGGCAGGCAACAAGTTGCAGGACACGACCGGAGAGTCCTCCCCACACCAGATACTGGGGGGGCTGAGGGAGTTGCCCGCTCACCCCCCCCGCCCCGAAGATGTTTGGGGGCTGCAGCGCCTCGCAGCCCCCCACGCACCACAGCGGACGGACCGTGCTTATCCCACCATCACACCCATCTCCCACGTGGGACCGGGGTGCGGGGGGATCCACGCCAAGCCCACCCCCCTGCTCTAGGGACCCACGCCAAGCCCCGCCATCCCACCTGCTGCACTGGGACGAACCGGGGTGGGTGAAAGCACCGCGCCCACCTCCCCACCCGCCCGGGCTGGGCAGTGGGCGCGGTGCTTTCACCCACCTGTGCACCCCTCACCTACAAACACCCCCCACCGGAGACCCCCCACCCCACTCCCGTGACTCCCCCCATACACTCACCCCTCAACCCCTCACGGGACCCCCGTACCCCACGCCGGGGGTCCCCCCGCGCACTCACCGGCTCAGCTCCCACGGCGCCCGGCTGGCGGCGGAGCCCCCCCGGCTGGCCATGGGATGGAGGGGGAACGGTCCCGGAGCTAACGGGAGAAAATGCTTGTCATGGCAACCCCCGTGCCGAGCGGGGCCGTGCGGGGCCGGGCCGAGGAGGGAGGGGACGAGGGGAGGGAGGGGGAGGGCTCGTCCCAGCCCGCCGGGGAGGGGCTCCCTTAAGGTGGTTGCACGCCCCGACGGCTGCTTAAGGGGGACGGGAAGGAGACGGAGAGTGGGTAGAGTGGGGTGTAAACGCCAGGCAGTGGGGGGACCCCACAGGCAGAGCGGGGGGTGCACCCCCAGAAAGTGTGGGGACCCCCCGGGCAATGTGGGGATCCCCCCTGCTAGAGCGAGGAGAGCACCCCTGGGCAATGTGGGGACCCCCCCAGGCAGTGTGTGCACCCCTGGGCAATGTGGGGGCACCACAATGTGTCACCCCAGGGAGCTCGGGCACGACCCGTGGCAGTGAGGTGTGGGCACTCCCAGGTGTGGGCACCCCAAGAAGTGAGGGCCCATCCTCATGCCCAAACCCCTCCCCAGTCCAGGCATGGGGAAGGCAGCAGGAGCACCGTGACCTGTGGCAGAATCGGGGTTCCTTGTGGGTTTAAAGTGGCTTTGGGGTTCTTCACTGGCACTGTGGTAGATGCCCAGAGTTGGGGTGTGCCCGTCTGACACCCCCTGAGAGCGACTGTCCCCCCGAGGGGCAGCATCACTCGGGAGGGTGCACACCCTGAGATCCACAGAGGGGCCAGCTTGAAGAACCACCCAGGGGCAGATCTTCACCCCTTTTTTTAAAGGAACCGGGATAAAAATCCCCATGGAATCATTCCTGAGGGGTGGAAACGCCACGGCCATGCCTGGTGGCAGTGGGGCACGGGGCAGCAGTGCCGTGTTGGGCACCTTAACTCGGCACTCGCCCTCCCCGCAGCCCCAGTCCGGGCACGCCGCGGGTTCGAGTTAAACCAGTGGAACATCTGTGCACGCACAAGCCCTAATTAGCGCTCGGAACGGTTTTTTCCCCCCTTGAGGGCCTGCACCTCGAGAATTTCACATTCCTGAGCGCTCCCAGGTGGTGCTGCAGAGGCCGGGAGAGCAGAGCCCTGTGTGGATCCGGAATTCCTTCCCATGCTCTCCGTGGTCAGTAAAATCCCTTCCACTCTGCTGATCCAGGGGCCTTTTTGGGGCAGGGGAAATTATCTTTAGTCACCTGAGTGCCCTCAGAGCTGCCCGGGTAGGATGTAACTCAGTCTCCACATCCTGTACGGCACAGAAGGCACTGACCTGTTCCTGTGCTTTGCAGCAGGGGGGAGGAAAGCGCCCTGGGCTGGGAATGCCACCCCATCTCAAGGTTGGGCCCTTGGCATCTTCCTGGGGAGTTGATGGGGTCATTCTCTCTGAAAAAAACCCTCCAGGGCTGGAGACTCCCATGACAAGAGCAAACCTTTCATCTCAAAAAACGAGCTCAGGCACCTTCAATTTAACGGCTCCACGCTTGCCCAACACAGAAAGTGGGAACAAACACGTGGATTTTAGCTGGTGTCCGCCCCCTCCCTCCACCAGAATCAGCCAGCACTGACCAGATTGTGTCTCAGTGACCACAGAACAGCTTGGAAAAGAGCTGGTGGAGCAGCCTGCAGGCGGTGCTTCCAACGGGCCAGGATGCAAAACTGCTATTGAGACATAATGGCCTTTTAAAACAGGTTTTCTGGGCTTGGAAGGAGTCTCTGACCATCTGGATTTGAACTCCTGAAAGGAAATCGGCCTTCCTGCCTCAGGGAAGCTGTTGTTAACAGGGCAGTTCAGCAATGCTGAGAATTTGCAGCCTCCTTGGACTCCTGGACTTGAGCTGCAATGGGGAAAGGCAGGTTTTACAGCTGGGGCACTTGCTGTGGAGGGAACACCAGCCAAAATCCATTTGGAAAACGTGCTTCCCATCCAGTGGCAGGCAGCAATTACAGAGCTGGTGCTCAGCAGCTCCTGCCTGGTGTGTTCCCAGTACACAGAGAACCATAAACAGCCGGAGAGCCCCTTCCATTTTATAGCTAAGGAGAAGCACATGGAGGAAAAGTGAAAATCCTGGCTGGAGCAGGAGCAGGAGCATCACCTCCAGACAGCTGTCCCCATGCACGGTGGCAAAGAGGGGCAGAACACAGGAAAAATTCCTTCATGGAGTATTCTGGGGTCTCCTCTGAAGACCCTCCTCGTGCCTCTGTTTCCTGGGATCCTGCCCCTGGTGCTTGCTGGTGCCACCACCCCTCCTGCTCCATCCCCTGTGGCCTAAACCCTGCGGGCAGCCCTGCTGGGATAGGAATTTCAGCTGTTATCCATATTTTGGCACCTCTTTTCTTTTCCAAATGCTTTCCTGCTGGATGCTCTGGAGGCAAAGCAGAGCAGTCCCTGGCCTGGGCAGTGTCTGGCCTCAGGGAGACCAGCAGCAACGTAAATAACCCCAAAATAGAAAACATCACTCCACCAGGTTCTTCCATTAAAAAAAAAAAAAAAAAAAATCAGGACTGGCTGATGAGCTCCCTTTAAACCCAGCATATAATATTTGTATTAATTTGCCTTTAATGCCTCCCAGGCTGGGAACTTGTAGGTGGAGTTTTAGCCCAAAATGAATTAAATCAGCCGAGTTGTATCAGCCAAGTTACAAACCCATCAAAACCCGGGGCCAGATCCTGATCTCATCCCCGGGGGGGTGAATCCAGGGCGCTCCACTGGAAGCCACGGGGAGGGTTCTCGTCCCGGTGCCGGCGAGCAGAGCGGGATTGGACCCCCGGGGTTTCTCATGGAAACACTGACTGCCTCCTGAGCACAAGGCAGAGTCGGGAGCCTGTGAAATCTCTCTCCATCCGAGGGCTAAATATAGGGAGAGAGAGCACCAGCGATGAGACTTGCAGCGCTCAGGGAGAAATAAACCCCAGAGAGGCTTTGCTGGCAATGCCAGGGGCTCATGGGGGTCCTGCTGCTCTGAGGTCCCACCCCGTGGGACAGGGCAAGGGGACTACAGGGCTCCTGTGGGGTGGCAGACTGGCTGAGGTGCCCCCAGGTGATGCCTGCAGCCTGCAGGGCTGGTGGAAATAGGGTTTGGATGCTTTTTCCTGCCTCTTCTCCCTTTTCCCTCTCCCTGCTCATCCCTGAGCTGCAGCACCCACAGGTGCCTTTTTGTAGGGCTCTGATTCCTGCTCAGAACCCACATGATGCCGTGGGAAGGGTCCCATTATGGGTCCCATCGTGGTCACACTGATTTCCCCTCTCAGTTCTGGACTCTCCCCTCACTCTGGGGCAGCTCCCCATGGCTTTGGAGCACCAGAAAACCCCCCCAGCCATGGGATTGCTAATAAACCATCAGCACACTCCTGCTAATAAACCTCTCCTAGCCTGTTCCTGCTCCCAATTACTCTAACAACCCTGTTAATTTCTAATTAAGCAGCTCCTTCACTGGGGAAAGGGGCTTGACATGAAAAGCAAAACATGAGAGGAGGAATCTGGGCCCAGCTTTGCTTTATGGATGTAATTAGGAGACAAAATTGTTCGCTCACCTAAGGAATTCATCACCCAAGTGCCTGTGAGCCGACAGCCACGCTGGGTTTTCCCCGGGAGCCCCGTGACTGACGGCGCTTTTCCCTTCCCCACCCCTCCACATTCCCATCTGGAGCCAGGACAGGCTCTCAATCCATTAGTGCCTGTTATGGAGCCCCCAATATTTCCAAGAGCTGGGGAGGAGCCTCTTGGCTGCTCCTTCCCAAAGCACCCATGGGCAGGATGAGGGGGAATTCCGTGCCGTGGGGATGCGATGACACCTCAGCAGGGACGTTGGGTGTCCTTCCTTCTCCACGGAGCACCCCAGCAGAGCACCCTGTGCTCAGGGAAATGCACATTTGGAAACACTCAGGGAAATTCCCCCCTTGAGGTCTGTGGGACACCCCACTCCCCTCCCCAGGAGTCACAGCTCCCGGGAAACAGGGAGATCCTCAGCTCCACCTCAAAATGAACATTTTTCCCTCCAGTTCCGACCTCGTTTCATTCCTCACATCAAGGAGGAACCTTGTACTCGGTGTTTGCATCACGGTAACAGCTCGGGGACCTTCGTGGGCCTGAGGAAAGTCCCTGCTGCCGGGAGTGACAACGCGGTGGGTGGTGCTGAAAGGGAGGAGAGAGAAGTGACAGCGCGGGAGAAACGCGCTCCCCTCACTCCCAAGCTGTCAGCCCCGGGCTGGGGAGGCGGGGGAGCTCCCGAGTCCTACTTTGGTGCCTTCCTGACAGGGATGGGGGGCCAGAGGGGCTGGAGATGGTCCCAGCCTGGATCCTGGGGGTCCCTGGGGGGTGATGCTGCAGAGCCCCTGGATGGGGAGGGCACAGCGAGGGCAGGGGGAACCCCAGCAGCTCCCTTTCTGGGGGGAGCATCTCTGTGATGTTTTGGGGTCAGGACCAGCCCTCCAAGAGGAAGGTATTCCAGCTCACCCTGCTGCTCCCAAAAAAAGCACCAGTGAAGGTCCAGGAGCCTGCACAGGGCTGGGATCGCCCCAGCAAAGCCACCCTGAGCCTGCAGACTGTCCCCTCCTCCAGCATCCAACTTCCAAAAAGGCTAAACCCCCAACAACCCAACCTGAAGGTGCCTGGGGGGCTCTGGGCAATATTGAGGGGCATCACTGGCATTTGGCTGGTTTTGATGCCACGGGGCAAAGCTGGGGTGAGCTCACCCCTCACGAGGGGTGAAAGTGGGTGGAAAGAGTATCAGATGCAAAGGTGACCCCTTCCCAAAATGGAGAAAGAGGGAGAAGGGAAAACCACGAACGCTGCCAAGCGCGGCCGCGGGAAAACAAACCAGAAACGACTCTTTTATTTGAATAATAACCATCAATAATACATTGCTAAGAAGCTGCAGATGACTGCAATTAAAAAAAAAGGCATTTCATTCCCTGAGCAAAACCTAAATTATTCCTCACAGCTTCTCCCCTCGCCGAGATGTATGAAAATGAAGCGGATCCTGGAGCTCCGCAGAGCCGGGGAGCCCGGGTGGAAGGCAGGAAAGAAGAAAAAAGGCAAGAAGAGAGAAGAAGAGCCCTAATGTGGGGGGTTATAAATATTTCACAGCCGAGGAGGAGTGGGGAG